ATTTCTATACTTCAGCAACTATAAGCATGATCCTGGCTAATGCAAAATGTGTTACAGTAATTGATTCGTGCCCAGCTTGTTTCAGTATAATGGTGCATGCAGAATCTCAGTGTAATTTTGCCTTCACCTGGGAAGGAAAACAGTAAACGTGGACTGGATTTCCTCAAGGGTTTGCAGGATTGTCAACTTTATTTTTGGAAATCCTAGGCAGAGTTGGAGGACAGTTAACCAATAATTCTGTATTAATACAATGTGTGGATGATGTGCTAATGGCAGGTTAAAGCAGGGAAAATTGTTTGGAAGATATAATGCCAGTTGCTTTGAGAGCTAAGGGTTATCAAATGTCCCCAATCAAATTACAATTCTGTAAAGAAAAGGGAGGGTATTTAGGAGATTTTCTGAAAATTTTACTAATTTCACAGTTTTAGGGTATGCAGAAATTTAATCTAGTCTTGAAAGGCCTCGATTATTTGCTGTCTTGGCCCCATTCAGGATTACCTCATTAGAGTGTCATGACCAAGGAATTTTCAACCTGCCTTTTGAGTTCTATTTGGCGTTCTGAGGCTGTGTTTCAAGCTTTGATCCTATAAAACACTATTTTTCAGCCTTTTTCAGTTTCTGGATCCCCTAATTTTTTTTTTTTTTTTTTTTTTTTTCCATTCTGGTGCCTTTACAATGAATTTCAGTCAGTTGTCAAGACAGCCATTATCCTAAATGTCTGTGTTTTCTAAGCAATTCTAGTAAGCAATACAACATTAAATGACCTGGGGGTTTTGTTTGTTTGTTTGTTTWTTTTTTAAACAAAGAATATTCTGTGCTGCCTGAAAGAAACCTTTTAAAGCTCTTGAATGCTTTAATTTGCTGCAGGTATCAGGGGTTGCMGTTTCTTGAAGCTTCAGGAAAAGGCACGAAGTGTGTTTTTTACTGCTTTTTCAAGTCTTCTGGCTGTCACATTAGGTTATTTGAGTGCTAGAGTGTGACAAGATAGGGAATCCCTGTCACAACCACCTGCAGTCTTGTGGTTTGTAAAGCTGTTCTGGTGGCTTTTGTCCCCATTCTGCACCGTATGGGAAGATTTTCTCAAGTGAGCCTGGCATTAACCTTCTCATTACCACAGCAGATGTAATGTTCAGACACTGTCGAGTGAATCCTGCAGAGAATTTTAACCTATGAAATCTCTTTGCCTTTGTAAATAATCTTATATGGTAAGTTTGAGAATGGCAACATTGGTGAAATTTCCCAAGTTCGTCTTCCAAGCTGGGGTTTAGGGAAGTCTGTTTTCCCCTCCAAATGAGGCAAGACAAAGCCAGGAGAAAGAGGAACGTGCTCCTTCAGTTGAGCTTTGTTCGTGTAGTGACGGGATTGAACCCATATGTCTGAATAGCTCTGCAATAAAACCACATTTGGGGTTTTTGTTTTTTTTTCAAGCAAATGCCAAGCATTTCACTCTGCACACAGCTAAATATAAATTGTGTCATTCCTAGCACTTTTTCCATATATGGGCTCTTCTTTTTCACTTGTCACTGCGTGCCACGCTGGGAGAGCCATGTCGGAGGAGCTGTATGTGGCTGRTGTGCTTGACCTGGGATCCTCATGTGTCCTGTTTGCATTTATTTCACTTGGAAGTGTGGTGGCCATCTCCAGGAGCTCCAGCAATCCTGGCCCTGACTCCTGCAAGCGTTGGCCTGTGCCTTCCCCAGGATGGAGAAAACCACGTGTGCCTTGTCCGTAATTAACATCTGCAGCCTTTCTGCAGCASTTTCTGATCTCAGCACGTTTTTGCAACCTCCCTTTCTTTATTTTGTGAGTTTCTTTAAATGTCCCTGTCATGGAGATATCATCTGTAGCTGAGGCTCTGACATTAGCACTTGCTTGTTTTTTTGCTTGCTATCACTATGGCTTTGATCAAGAAAGATCTTGGTGATAAGCATAGCTGTGGCTCATTTAATGTAACAAAGAGTTCATATAAGTATGAATCTTCTTCAGTCTTTGGGGTCCTGCTGCCCCACACAGAAGCACCTCTCAGGTGTGTGCCCCATTCCTGCCTTGTGGCTGCACAGTTAAACTCTCCTGTGAGCCATTCAAAGCCCTTCTTACAGAAAATGTCTCATGCATGAATAGGTGTGGACAGGACTGGTGAGCTGACCAGGAGATATTTTTGTGTCCCCTCAACCCTGAGCCCTGTTCCTGTACTTGCAGCTCTCTTCAAGCTGTGGGACCCTGCAGAGCCTCCGTGGCTGCAACCCTCTCCCTCTCCCAGTCCTGGTGTTCCTGCCCTGGCAGCCTGGGCTGTATCCATGGCTGTGTTGCTCCAGCACAGGGGATGGAATGGGCAGAAGGGCCACTGCAGCTATGCCCTCCTGCATTTTCTGTTTGCATGTGCTGGGTTTCTGGATTTAKCTCTGCTGGCTGCCTCCAAGTGAAGCTGGGGCTTTGTTTCCCCAGTGAGCGCTGACACAYATTAATGGCAGTAAAAATAGGTGTSCTSCCCATGCTTACCAGCCTGTGCAGAGGGAGATGTGCAGGGTTGATACGTACAGATTTTTCTGTAATATTTCACGGGTTATTTCCTGCTTTACTTTCTTGCTCAGGTTTTCCCATCTCGCATGCTCCATCAAGGCCTCATGTATGGAATGAATCTCCATTCTCCTTTCATGAAGCCTTCGGACTGAAGGGGCAAAATGACCCTGTGAACGTGCAGCTCACCAAGTAAAAAAGATTGTAGTTCACCTTCCAACAACAAATTCTTGGGTTTTTTTACATTTGGTCATCCCCTCCTCCCTTTTTCTACTTGTGATTTCTGTCAAGCCTTACAAGGTGTTTTTTGTCTGCAGTAATGACACAAAACTCTGTGTCTTTWTATAAAAAGGGGAACTGAATTCTCTGCCTAGCCAAGAGTATTGTGAGCACTCATTAGCCAATGCTAGAAATTAGTGCCAGATCTCATCTAACAATTTCATTATATGTGACATTTGAGAGGGTTGCTCTTAAAAAAGGCTGTTGATTGATGACAACACAGATTGTGTGTGTGCTGTCATCTTTATCCTG